CGTGAAATTACTCCCCCAGGGGGGATGGCCATGCCACAATCCCATCTCCATTCTCCTCTCAGGATTTTGGGCATGCTCGTACAGGCATCCAGCATGAGTTTCAAACTGCTGGGTCCAGGACTTGAACCACAGTCAATTACATGGGAGTCCGGTGATGTAATCATTACACCATCCGCTGGCCCCATCGATGTCCAATTTTAAAACATTTTTATCCTCTCCAAAAAGAAAGTCTGAGTCCATTGGCAGTTACTCCCCATTTCCCCCTCTCCCAGCTCCTGGTGACCATGAATCTATGAAGGGCTCTTTAAAAAGTTCATGGAAAATATTTATTACCGAAAACTATGCATGGATTTCTTTCTTTTTTTTTTTTTTGCAGTAATATAAACCTGCACTTTAATTCCATTTTCCACGAACTTTTTGAAGCCGCTCACGTTTTGTGTCCTTAATGGGCAAACCAGCCATTTTCTTTTCTTTCTTTCTTTTTTTTTTTTTTGAGAGGTTTTCGCTATAGGGTGCGTGTGGCTCATCAGGAAGACAGAGAGAGACAGAGAGACAGAAAGTGAAAAATCACCCCCCAGGGGGGATGGCCACACTGCAATCCCTTCTCCTCCATTCTCCTCTTGGGATCTTGGGCAGGTACACACACGCGCCCGGCGTGAGTTTAAGCCACCGGGTCCAGGACTCAAACCGCGGTCAACTACATGGGTGTCCAGCAATATAGCCGTTATGCTAACTGCTGGTCCCGAAACTGGCCATTTTTTATACCTGTGGTCTTTTTTGACTGTCTTCCTTCACTTCGCATGATGTTTGCAAGGGCCATCCGTGCTGCAGCGTGAGTCAGTGCTGCTTTCCTTTTTACAGCTGGGTACTATTCCATCGTGCATAGAAAACCAGAACAATACTTAAGCACTTTTCCGCTGACCTCGGACATCACATTTTGTTTGACCATGCATCAACTGATGGACATTTGGATTGTTGCCACATTTTGGCTGTTATTAATAATGTAGCTAAAGATCTTCGTACACAAGCTTTGTTTTTATTTCTCTTGTAAGTTCCTAGAAGGAGAATTGCCAGACCATATGTTAACTCTGTATTGAAGATTTCTAGGAATTGCTAAACCATTTGCGGGAATGGCTGCACCATTTCACATTCCTGTTAGCAATGTCTAAAGGCTCCATTTCTTCCACATCATTGTCAGCACTTGGAATTATCTGTCTTTTTGGTTATAACCATCTTAGTGGTTGTGAAGTGGGGGCTCATCATGGTTTTGATTTGTATTTCTCTGATGATTAATGATAAAAAACTACTAACGAAGTATACTTTCTTTGGAGAAGTGTCTATTTAAATCCTTTACCTAGTTTAAAATCACGCTGTTTATTGTATGGTGGAGTTATAAGGTTTCTTTATATATTATGGGTACACATCTCTTATCAGATGTATGATTGGTTCCCATGCATTGCTTATCTTTTACTTTCTTCCTGTTGTCCTCTGATGCACAGACGTTTTGAATTTATCCGTCTTGTCTTTTGTTGCTTATGTTTTCAGTGTTGTACATAAGAACCTATTGCCAAATTCCAGCTTACAGAGATTTACTTCTAGTTTAAAGGAATTTATAGTTGTAGGACTCTATTGACGTATGTGACCTATTTTAGATTAATTTTTGCTTTGGATGTGAGATAAGGGTCCAACATCATTTTTTTAAAAACTGTTTAAGTTTGTTTCTTCCATGAGAGAGGGAGACAGAGAGAGATGCACAGAGAGAGAGAGACAGAGAGAGAGAGAGAGAGAGGGAGAAAACCACACCCCAATGAGGTATTTATGCCTTTATCCAACCCCTGGCTTCAGCCAGCCAGTTGCACACCTGCATACATAGGGAGACCTTCGGACGCACACCTGGTACCTTCCCATTTGGGCTCAGCACTGTAGTGTTATATCATAGCCGCGCTACCTTGGACGACCCTCAACTTCATTCTTTTGCTTGTGGATATCCAGTCATTTCAGGACCATTTGTTGAAGAAATTGTTCTTCCTCTACTGAATCAGTCCATGCAGGGACCAGCAGTTAGCGTAATGGTAATGGTTAAATCTCTGGACTTTCATGTAGCCGACCGCAGTTTGAGTCCTGGACCCAGTGGCTTAAACTCACGCCAGGCGCCTTTGCGTGCTCAAGATCCCTAGAGGAGAATGGATTGCAGCATGGCCATACAC